CGAGAGGATTCGCGTCAGAAAATTACTGCCCAAGAGGAGGTCGCCAGCACCGGACGTGTCGAAACCGTCTTGGACGAAATCGCACGTGAGGTGTCACAGGAGCGCAAGGACAGTGAAGCCGCCGCAGCAGCTGAAGTGGCAGCACGAGCAGCAGCCGAAGCAGCAGCAGCAGCAGCGACAGCAGCAGCCGCTCGGTCAGAAGCAGCCGCTACTGTAGCAGCACCGGCGTTTATGCCGATCGTGACGACAGCGACGATCAAACCGACAATGCCACCCCCGTTCAACCCCACAGATAAGAATACTACTGTTACGGGCTGGTTATTTTCGGCGGAACTTTATTTTAACGCCGCTCGGATCACTGCTGACGAGTTAAAAATTCGACTAGCTGTATCACTACTGCGGGGACCTGCGCTAGATTGGTGGCGATATACTCTACAGGAGGGGGAGTTTTCGGCAGACGACACACATGGGTTTTTCGGAAACGTTGGGTCTGCTGCCCAAGGGTCAACCGCGATTTTTGGATCAACCAAGATTCGCACGTGGAAGGCGTGGGGTACAGCCCTGCGTGAACAGTTTGAGCCAATATCCGCCTCGGACAACGCACGCACGAAGCTGGACAACTGGCGCCAGTGGAGTTCTGTCCATGATTACGTCGGTCTTCATGGCGTTATACGATCAAATCACCGACATGCATGACTCCGAGAAGAAAGCTCGATTCATTTCGGGTTTGAAGTAGGACATTAAATGCGAGGTCCGACTGCGACTTCCGGCGACGTTTCACGAAGCAGTCCGGATCGCAGATACTTTCGACGCACATCGGACGTATGCGAGAGCGGGTTCCCGGGAGGGAAATCGTTTTCATGACCAGAATCCACGGCCCACGATTCACGGCGTAGTGGCGAAGGAGCACATGGAAGACTTTCGCAAGGGACAATGTTTTAACTGCCACCAGTCGGGTCACCAATCTCACGATTTCCCCCGAAAGAAGCAGATAAAGAAGAACGACGAAGGCAAGTCGGGAAACGCCAAGAGTCACTAGTGGTCGGGCCCCCTACTGACCCTGCCTTATCGCCCAAAAAACACCATCCCCACCGAGTTGTGGTTCCGATACATGCTATCAACCGCTCCCGGCTGAATAAGGGGGATGACCCAGTGGACCACCCTGTACTGGCGGAGGGACGACTCAACGGAAGAAAAATACAAATATTCATCGATGGAGGTGCGAGTCACAGCCTGATAAATCAAGAGACAGCACGACGACTACACCTGACGCTGGAGAGGTGTCTGCCCAAAATTGACGCGCGATTGGTGAATGGCACCCCCCTGGCGATACGCGACAAAGTACCCGTCGTTCGAATGAAGTGTGGCGAAGATTTTGGTTTCAGCACGCCGATGCTGGCGACAACGCTCGACGGCTAAGACATGCTATTGGGACGCGATTGGCTGCGACGATTCAACCCGCAGATCGATTGGACCACAGGCGACTGCACAGTGAAGTGCGATAAAGGCTAGCGAAAATTACCCACGTGGCCGGAAGCAGAGACAACGTCGACACGAGTCAACGCGGTGTGCCTCAACCGAGCGGTCAAGAATGGAGCGGATTTATACGCCATCCATCTAACCGAATCGACGGAGCAGAACGAGGCGACCGACATCAACAAACTCTGCGCTTCGGTCCCGGATGACTTGGCGAAAATCATTCGGGAATATCCTGAGATTTTCCCGGACGACTTGCCAAGCGGACTGCCACCTGAACGACCCCGGGACCACAAAATCGAGCTGGAGCCCGGCGCGCAGCCTACTGTACGCACGCAATGGCGCCTGACACAACCGGAGCTACAGGAGTTATGAAACCAGCTGGACTACCTGCTGGCGAAAGGGTTCATTCGGCCGAGCACGCCACCATTCGCGGCACCAATCCGGTTCACGCCAAAAAAGGACGGCGGACTTCGCATGTGTACGGACTATCGTGCCCTTAATCGAGTAACGATAAAGTCGCGCTACCCAATACCACACACGGACGAACTGATCGACAACCTTCGCGGAGCTCGCTATTTTTCGAAGATCGACCTTCGCGGCGGTTACCATCAAATTCGGGTGTTCGCTGACGACTGCCACAAGACCGCGTTTCGTACTCGCTATGGGAGTTACGAATACATGGTGATGCCGTTTGGATTAACGAACGCCCCCTCGATGTTCCAACTCACCATGAATGGGGTGTTCCGCGATCTACTCGACAAATGCGTGATAATTTACCCGGACGACATCCTGATCTACAGCAAGACCCGGGAGCAACATTTAAGGGATTTGGATGCGGTGTTTCAGCGGTTGCAGCAGCATCGTCTCATTACCAAGGGCTCCAAGTGCGAGTTTTTAAAACAAGAACTGGAGTTCCTGGGGCACGTAATCTCCACGGAGGGGATTCGGATAGACCCGAAAAAACTCCGGGCTATTCAGGAATGGAAACCGCCAACAAACCTGCAGCAGCTGCAATCTTTTTTGGGTTTCGTGAATTACGTGCGGCGGTTTATACCCAACATGGCGGGGTTAACTGGACCTCTAACCGACCTACTGCAGAAGGGGACTTTTTACGAGTAGGGGGAGAAGCAGCACACTGTGTTCAAGGCATTAAAAAATCTTTTAATGTCGCCACCGGTACTTCGCATCGCTGACCCAGAACAACCCTTCGAAGTAATCACCGACGCAAGTGACATCGCCATCGGAGCAGTGCTCATGCAGGATTTTGGCAACGGGCTACAACCAATTGCGTACGAGTCTCGGAAAATGCAATCTGCTGAGCGCAACTACCCGGTACACGACAAGGAGATGTTGGCGATCGTCCACGCATTCAAAATCTGGAGGTGTTACCTGACTGGAGCAAACGTGACGGTGCGAACCGATCACAAATCACTACAGTACCTGCGAGCGCAGCCGAATCTCAACCCGCGGCAGATACGCTGGCTGGACTATCTGGAGTCCAACTTCACGTACAAGATCACGTACAAAAAAGGCGCCAACAATATTGCCGACGCCCTCTCCAGACCATCTGCCCAAGTCGCAGCATTACTAGTCGCCCAGAGCAACCCGCTGCTAAGTGGATTATTTACCCATGGGTATTCGACTGACCCCTTCTTCGTAAATGACGGCCATCTTCCAATCACTACACGGAAAGGCGTCTATTACTTACGAAGCGGGACTGGTCGAATTTAGGTCCCAAGTTATCGTCTACTTCGCAAATTACTAATTCAAGAAGTCCACGATTCGAATTTATCGGGACATTTCGGGGTTGATAAAACTCTGAAGGCGTTGCCGCGGTTTTATTACTGGCCAAATATGGTGACGGACGTGCAGCGTTACGTGGCCGCGTGTCCGATCTGCCAGCGAATGAAGTCATCACACCAGCGACCTACAGGACTGTTGCAGCCCCTCGAGCCACCTCGACGCCCATGGCAACACGTAACGATGGATTTCGTTACGGGACTACCGGTCGGACCCAGCGGAAACGAAGCAGTTTTTGTTGTCGTCGACCGATTGACGAAAATGGTGCATTTCGCACCATGTCGCACAACCATCACAGCCGAAGAAACAGCGCGCCTGTTCATCTCGACCGTTCTTCGCTTACACGGGATACCAGCAGCAATTATTAGCGATCGAGATCCGAAGTTCACGTCAAATTCTTGCAGGGCACGTGGGCTCGGTACGGCACGCGTCTACAGTTCTCATCCGCTTATCATCCCCAAATGGACTGCCAGACTGAAAGGACGAATCAAACGATGGAGCAGCTGATTCGGACAAACTGCCCCGACCGAAAAAATTGGGAGGACGTGCTGCCTATGTCGGAATTTTCCTACAACAACGCGCCCTCGGCTACGACTAATCACTCCCCGTTTTATCTCAATTACGGGATGGACCCTACAGTACCCGTCTCCACCAACGTTGAGAGTCAAGTACCACGATCACAACAATTCGTCGAAGAGTTACAGACTGCCCGAGACAAAGCTGTCGAACTTATTCGCAAGGCGAACGCAACTGCCCGACGGTATGCGGATTTACATCGACGGGATATTACAATGGCAGCAGGGCAACTAGTCCTGTTGGACACCAAGAATTTATGACTACCGCTACCGACCAAATTACGACCACGTTTCTGTGGCCCATTCAAGATCATGAAGATGGTGACACCGGTGACCGCCCAGTTGCGCCTACCTGATGACTGGCGTATTCATAACAAGTTCCACGTGAGCCTGTTGCGACCCTTCGTTCCTGACACGTCAAACTTCGCCCGCCAGCGATTGGTCCCAGATGTACGGCCACCAGCTGAGACGACCATCGAGCCTTCGAAGATTTTGAGCCATCGGATTCGTATCGACGGCCAGGGTCGACACTTTGACTTCCTGATACGATGGACCAATCGTACCAGTGAGGACGACACGTGGGAGCCCTTGGACCAGATACAGTCACCTCCGATACTTGCGAATTATTTGGCCCGCAAGCACGTGACTGGTATAGATCACCTTCGCTAAGGGGGGGGGTGGTGTAAGGAATTTTCCATTCCTTACCGAGCAGTACTGCTACCGCGTACGCTCGAACACACCCGACGCATCGGGACTATTCCGGACCTTTCTGACGGAACCGCCTCGGCCTCTCCAGACCTGCTAGTTCGACCTTCGAGAGTTCTCCGGGCCTCGCAGCGTCACTTCGAGACCCTTCGATCTCTTTCCCGAACCTTCCCATCGCATGGTTAGACTAGCTCTGGTGTTCCTATATCTTGGCTTGCCATTCCCTGTATCGTCAATTTGAGTGAGTGAACACTTCGTTATTCATTTCCGCGCTACTCTGCTTGTTCATTCATAACAGTAGTGCTTGGTCAAAACCTTGTACCGTAACATGATTTTCACCATGCCTCCTGGCCAGCGTTCGCTCTTGTTCCTGCCCAGCACATCCCTCTGCTCTGCACTGCAGCCTGCCTTGGCTTGGCAGATCCTCGAATTCTGATTTGGCCAGAATCACTGGCCTGTCTGTCAGGCATCCAGTTCCTCCTAGTACCATCGTTCTTTCCCAATCCAGCAGCACTCATTCACCCGTTTTCTCATGCTGCTTTCTCGAATTCCAAGCGCTAGCTCCACTCTTTTCCTCTTCATGCCTCCCCTATTACCTTCGGTCACTCATGTTCTCACTGCCCCGCCATGGCCGCTTTGAACGTCGCCCGATGCCCCGCGGACATAGCGGGTGCGACTATCGTGTCGGCCGACGTGTCATCGGACCTCAGGCTGTTAGCCGCCCACCTGTCGTGCGGCGATGTTGCTGTCTGCACTCTCGGCAGCCCCGTGCGCCCTGCTGCTGCCACCGCCCATGTGCTCTTCCGCGATCGCGCCGACCGTGCCAGCGAAGATGCCCATCCTCACACGCCATCGCACCATCGCCTTGTCGCATGGCTGTGCCCACGGCAGCAGTCAGGCGAGCCGTGCGACCAGGGCCAGTCGCACGACCGAATTCTCGTGCTGCTCCGGCCCCGTCGTGTGTCGTTGTACGCGATTAGAGCAGGCACGAGTCCGTTGTCGGGGAGTCCCATGGCGGCTGCATCAGCCCAGGCCATGCGGGCACGTGGCGGCAGGGCGGGCGTGCGAGTGGTGCTGTGGCCGGGGTGCGTGCGCGAGCACGACTCCGCTCGCACTGCCAGCGACGCTCTGGACCTGGCGACTGGCGCCGCAGATGCGATGGGAGACAGTGACGGGTGGCAGAAGCTGGCAGGGGGGGGGGAGGCGGCAGCGCACATGAGCATGGGCGTGGGCATGCGAATGGGGCTCAGCATGAGCGCATGGCATGCGGACTTTGACTCCTCGCTGTGGCACTGCCTGCTGGCCGCCTCTGGCGCCATGGCGGCGGGCGCAGGCGAGGGCAGTGAGAGCGAGAGCGGGCCGTGGGGGTGTCCTGTGGAGCAGGTGGTCGCCGTGGGGCTGGACGCCCACCCGCACGCCTCGCACCTCGCGCTGCTGCTCGCGCCACGCCACGCGTACTCGCACATGTGCCTCTCGCCGTCCGCGCAGCGCTGCCAGGCCCCCCTGCCAGCATGCACCACCGTGCTTGTGCTGGCCGTGGCAGGGGGAGCCACAGGGGACGACGGGTGGCAGGGGATGCAGGGCGATGTAGGAGGAATGGCGGGAGGGCAGTGGGACGAGGTGCCGGGAGAGCAGGGGCGCAGGCCGCCCGTCGTAGTGAGTGTGCAGAGCTGCATTCACCTGCACGCTGTTATGGCCACCCAGCACGCCCCGGCCGCCATGTGGAGCGCCGTCAAGCTGCAGGGCGCGTGGCTGTGCGCGCTGCAGCCATCAGGCGCCATGTTCACATGGGATGCCGCCTCCGGCCGCCCCATACACTCCCTGCTCCTCACACCCGCCGGCCCCGCGCTTCCCATGCCCAGAACTGGCTGTGCCACTCCCCGTGCTCACCACCAGCATGAAGCACACCAGAATGGCAGCGTCTGCAGCAGTGAGAGCAGGCCAGCCCTTGGCGCAGAGCGGTCACTTGACCCTGCGGCGGGTGGTGTGGGGCAGTTTGTGGCTCTGGTGCTGGGGTGCCATGGCAGGCTGCTGTGCGCCGTCACATGCACAGGCCTCGTGCTCACTGCATCGCTGCATGCGCCCATGCCTCCCCATGCCCCGTCGCCTCTCCCCGCACCTCCCGCCCCCCCCATGCGTTCTGTGCTGCTGTGCAGCCCTCTGGCGTCAGGCCGCCTGCTAGCGGGGCTCATACACGCTGGCGGGCCGGGGCAAGGGGGGGCATGCTGTGGGGAGGACGGCAGCGGTGCAGTGCTCACAGTGGCTGTGCTGCACTCACACCGTACCCTGGCAACCGCTGCTCCTCGCGCTGCCACCCATGCCATCCCTCCAGCAGCCAAGGCTCATCTCGGTGTCTATTCGTTTCTGCTCTCCGTCTCACAGAATCACTCTACTCTCACGCATCGCCCCCTCGCCCCCCTCACATCCCCCCTTCGCTCTCTCTCCCTGCCGTCCTCCGCCCTTCCCCTGCTCTCCTGCCACCGCCTCCTCTGTCTCTCCAACCACCGCCTGCTCCTCCTCCTCCCTGACCACCTCCCTGCCCCCCTCCACCTCGCCTCCTCCGCGCCCCTCTTCCCCATGTGCCACCTGCCCATCTCCTGCTCCCCCCTGCCGTCGCCCGCCCCTGCTCTCAGTCTGCCCCCTGCTCTGGCAGCCCTGCAGCTGGAGGGCGTTCCCGCCCAGGCACCAGGGGATGGGGGGAAACAGGGGGAGGAGGGGGGGAGAATGCAAAGAGGAGGCTATTATACAAGTGTGGTGGTGGGGGGGAGTGGTGAGGTAGAGAGATGGGTGGGGGCGGAGAGGCAGGAGGATGCATGGGTGCGGAGTGTGAGTGAGGCGATGGGGGCGGTGATGGCGATAGAGGGCGATGTCATGAGCAGAGAGGACCTGGGCGGCACCGCATTCCTCTCGCTGCTGCACCACACTGCACAAGCTAATGGTACCTGCCCGTCTTTTCTTTGTAGCCACAGCAGCAAGTTGTAGTGGCAGGCCAGCATGTTTGTCAGCTGTGTGTAGTCTCCTTGCACTCATCGCCCTGCCTGTGCCCGCTGTGCGCCTGCTGCCATGCAGGCTGGTCGGACTCGTGTCTTGTCCTGCAGCACGTGCGCCTCTGCCTCGACCTCATGTGCCCCGCACCCTCCGTTGTCAGGTCCGTCACTTCCTTTGCAGCCCATACTCCTCCTTTCCTCCGAATCTAGGTTATCTTTTCCCCCATACGTCTCTATCTCTTCACGCTGCAGACCTTGTGTGCCCAGCATGCTGTGTTCGTTCCGTGCACCAGCGTGCCCCTCATCCACCACACCTCCACTTTCTCCAGCAACTTTCATGGCCCCCCTGTGCCACCCCTCTTGCTGTGCGGTGTGCATGCGGGCGTGCAGGCTGCTCTTCCTGCTGCACGGCATCAGCGCCACCCTGCAGGTCAAGGCCTTCCACTGCCTGCTCGCCTACCTCACGTTGCACCTGCCCCTCGCGCGCTTCTCTCGCTCCCACGCCAGATACACCTCCAGGTGCGCGCCCTCGCCCCCGTACGCACTCGCATGGCCTGCGCCCCATGCTGCTGCATTCTGTCCGTGCACCCTGTCTTCATTCGTCACATTCCCATCATGCAGTAGCCTGCCTATTGTTCAGCTCTGACTCATAACGGTGAGTTGTCTACCTGACCTCCTTCTCGTCTCCCCCCCCAGTCTGCTGTCGCACGCCATCCGCGCGCTGCTCCAGGCGCTGCTCCTGCACTATCACACCGCGCCCGCCTCGCCGCACAGGGCCCGCCGCCCCCAATCCGCCTTGCGGCCGCGCGGGCCACAAGGAGCCGGCAGGCAGGGGGGTGTGGGCAAGGGTGAGGCACGAGAGAAGAGGAGAGGGGGAGGGAAGGGGAGGCAGCAGTCAGGGGAGGCGGTATCTGAGGAGCAGGCGGCGCAGAAGGCGAGCATGGAGGCCCTGTCTGACGTGCTGCTCACTCTGCGCCGCCTCCACACTGCCGCCACCCGCCTCGCCGCCCACCACGCCACAGGCACCGCCACGACGGCTGCCCCTGGAAGCACTGCTGGGGGGGCTGCAGCGAGTCATGCACGTGCTGAGGTGGGGGGAGATGGGGTGCCAGCACAGTCAGGGCTGCTGCTGCTGTCTGCGCCGCATGCCTTCAGTGCATCGGATGCCCCACAGGTGAGGGGGGCAGGGGTGAGGGATAGCATTGGGCGAGTTGTGAACCAGGCCTCGGTGTGTCATCCATATTGCCCTCATGCGCTTGCCTCACATCCCATCTTACAACCCCATCCCCCCTACCATGCAGGCTGTGCTTCCCCCTGGACCTCTCTACTCCCGCTTGCCCCTTCCCCACCTCGCCCCCTCCTTCTTCATCGTGTCCTCACTCCCAGATCGTCCCGCCCCTTTCCTCGCCTCGCTACCACCCCGCCAACCCACCACCCTCGCCACGTCTACGGCCCAGCCCCTCGCCCTGCCGTCACCATCTGCCACTGCGTCCGCCATAGACATTCACTCCCTGCAGCTGGCAGGTCTTCCCTCTCACAGCGCGCCAATGCGTGCATGGATGGAGGGCGGGCAGCACGAGAGTGTGCGCGCCATGCTGCAGCGGTGGCAGGCGGAGCAGTGCCCCTCAGAGCGCGTGGTGAGCGACGCCATTGCGGCGTGCCGTGTGCCCCTCGCCGTCGCCTTCCTGCACCACCGCCTGCAGCAGCACTCACACACGCAGCCCGCCAGGATCCAGGGGACACGTGGCGACGAGCAGGAGGTGGAGGAGGAGGAGGAGGACGAGGTGGAAGTCGGGGAGGAGGGAGGGGCAGAGGCGGAGGGGAAGGATGAGGCAGTGGGATGGCAGGAAGTGGGGCGGGAGGGCAGGGAAGAAGCAGTGCATGTGGTGCAGGTGGAGGGGCGCAGGCTGGCGCTGGCGTTGCTGTGGCACGGCCATGCGCCCATGGCAGCGCAGGTGCTGCTGCGCCTGGGCTGTGACGTGCACGCTTCTCTGCTGGACCTGCTGCTGCGCACCTTCTCCTCGCACCTGCGTCGTGTGCTCTCGCACTATCTGCACCACCACCACCTGCTGCCTCTGCCCCTCGTCCACTCCCTCGCCTGTACTCAAGCCGTCCAGGTAACCACTCGCCTCCGGGCACTGCTCATCCACTTGCTACTGCCGCCACATTAGATGCCTCGAGATACAGCTGCCAATACTCTCAACCAGTGGCGTCCTTTGCGTTGCCGTGGGCCACACGCAACCTCATACCCTTGCCATGCGCTCATTACTCATGCTCCTGCGCTCCCTTGCAACCTCTCGCCCCTCCTCCCTCCCCCCTGCAGGACATGTACCCTCTCCAGTCCTTCGCCTCTGCGTATCGCCTGCGCCGCGCCTCCTCCACCGCCTCGCTGCCACCCCACCCTGCCACGTGTGCTCAACCAGGTGTGCCCCCCAGCACTGCCCTGCGCTCTGGGCCTGAGGGCGGGCCTGCAGCGGGGGAGACAGGGGGGCAGCGGGAGGGCCCTCGGGCTGTTGGTGGCACAGGGGAGCAGGGAGGAGGTGAGGCAGGCACGGAGGGTGAGGCGGACGAGTGCAGGCTGGATGGTGGGGCGGGGAGTGCGGAGGTGGCTGTAGGGGGTGTGGAGTGCGGGGAGTGTGGTGGGGGGGTGGCTGGAGGCAGCTGGGGCAACCTGGTGGCGCTGGTGCCGGTGCAGGAGGGGGGAGGGGGAAGGCAGGCAGCGGAGGGGCGGGGAGAAGGCGGGCGGGAGAAGGAGAGGTTGGAAGTAGAGGGGGTGGTTGAGGACCAGAGCGCTGTGAGGGCGCTTGACGCTTCTAGTGCTGTGCTGCCGCACGGGTTTGCATGTGTGGCGGCTGCCTGGGTGCAGCACTGGGACTGCGATCTGCTGCTGCAGGTCCGAGGCGCCGTGCCCTCCGCCACACACACTCGCCCTGCACTTGCTGCGCGGCTCATAAGTTGCCGCATCATTGCCTTCGCCAGCCCTTAAGCTCCTCCACTCCGTACCTCGCACGTGCTGTTCTGTTCCGTTGCTACCCTTACCCCTCGTACCCGCCTCCACCCGTGCACTCATCTCGCACATTCTACACAATTCGCCCCACCTCCCTCCCTGCTCGCCACTGCCATTGCAGGTGCTCGCGGAAGGGACTCTACTGGCTTCGTCTCCTGCACTATCCAACCCCCCCTCCCCCTCCTCCTCCTCCTCCTCCTCCTCCTCCTCCTCCTCCTCCTCCTCCTCCTCCTCCTCCTCCTCCTCCTCCTCCTCCTCCTCCTCCTCCTCCTCCTCCTCCTCCTCCTCCTCCTCCTCCTCCTCCTCCCCCTCCTCCTCCTCCTCCTCACCCCCCCTCTCTTCCCTCCATCACATCCTAGCCACACGTCACCTCCACCTCCCCCCCTCACTCCCCCCTTCTCCAGCACCCCCTCCTGCGTCTCTGGTGGCGTGGGAGTCGCTCCTCTCCTTGTCCCTGCGCCACCACCTCCCTGCCCTCCTCTCCTCCACTCTCCATGCCCTCCCTCCCACCTCCCTCTCCCTCTCTCCCATCACTGTTTCCTTACAACCCCCGCCTCCTCACTCCCCCACCCGTTCCAGCCCCCCTGCACGCCCGTGCATGCATGTGCCTGTGGTGCGGGCAGCAGCAGTGCTCAAGCCAGCCGCGGCCTTGTCTGCTGCTGGGGGTGTACAGAGGGGCACAGCACAGTGCACGGCAGGGGGCAGCGTGCAGGGCGGGGGCAGCAGCGGCGCCATGCGCAGGGCCCTGGAGGAGCAGCTGGCCGCGCACCGAGTGCTGCTCACTCACTCCTGGCGCCACCCCTTGCCCCTCCTGTGCCTCCTCGCCCGCTCCCACGTGCTGCTGCCGCCCAAGGCCCATGCGCAGGAGGTGGCGGGTGGTACGAGAGGGGAAGCAGAGGGAGCTGAGGGGGTAAACAGAGTAGGAGCAGATAGAGTGAGCGCAGGGAGGGGTGGGGATGCGGCAAGAGAAGGTCAGGGTGATGACGCTGCGAGGGGAGGCAGCATTGCTGAAGGGTTCGAGTGGAGTGTGGTGGGCGTGACCCTGTCATGCTCCGCCCTGCGTCTGCCACTGCTGCTGCACCTGTTCCTTGGTAACCACGCTGCACACCACCTCCCTCCCATGCAGCAGCATCCAGGGGAGGAAGACATGGTAAGCCATCAATCACATGATCTCACTGTATGTTGTGCTTTGTATTTCACTCTCGTTCAAATCATTGCTCTTGTGTCTCAGGCAAACTCCTGCTGCGCTATCTCCCTGTCCCTCTCTCATTCCTCACATCCGTCTCCCCCTCGCTCCACCCCCACAGCTCCGCGCAGCAGATCCCTGCTACGTATGGCTGCTGCACTCCCACCGCCCACCGCCCCCTGCACTCCCCACTGTGTCCGCGCAAGCCCCCCTGGCAGCAGCGGCGTGCCCCCCTGTGGCGCTCGTGCAGGTGGCACAGGGGGTGCGCTGCAACCTCGCCTGGCTCCTCTCCTGCCCCCCGCCCGGCGCTGCGTGGCCCTGGGTGGCGGGGGGGCGGGATGAGCACCTGTGGGGGGAGGAACAGGATGACTCGGGAGGCAGTGAGGGACGTGCTGTTGGGGCCGGGCTGAGTGGGGGGGGCAATGGGGCTGGGAGCAGTGGCGAGGGGGGGACGAGGCAGGGCATTGCAGGGGCAGGGCGTGGGACGCTGTGGGCTGGGCATCACTTGAGTGGTGTTGTGGGGTGCAGATGGGTGGAGAGCACACGGCAGGAACAGCGGGTATGTGGGGGGAATGTGGATGCATGGGGTGATGATGACATGTGGTGGTGGCAGGAGAGGCAGTGGGGAGAGGATGTGTGGTGGAGGGAGGAGAGTACTGTTCGAAATGAGACGAGTAAGGTTAGTAATATGATGAAGGCACGGGTCACAGAGAAAGGAGAAGAGGATGAGGAGGGAGACGAGGAGGGCGAGGAAGAGGTGGAGGAGGAAGAGGTGGAGGAGGGAGAGGTGGAGGAGGGAGAGGAGGCAGAGGAAGATGCCAGTGTGGAGGGGCATTTAGCAGCTGCAGGGGGGTGGTGGGAGGTGGTGCCCGTGTCGCCCGTGGACGAGTGGCAGCAGCACCTCTGGCGCTCCCTGCTGCTCGCCCTGCTTCTCCACCCCTCGTCTCTGCCCGCCCTGCCCTCCCACCTCCCCCTGCTCGCCTGCCTAGACCACCTGCTGGGCCGTGGGCATGTGGCGCACAGCGAGGAGGGGAGAGCGGGGGGAGAGGGCGTGGGGGAGGGAGAGGAAGAGGAGGGTGGGCAGTGGTGGCGGAATGGCATGGGAGGGCGAGAGGTGGTGTCGGCGGTGTTGGGGGGAGGCAGAGGCATGTGGCAGATGAGGGGCGTGCGGATGGCAGTCACTGCTTGCCCAGCTGCAGCACAAGGTGAGAGGCGGGGTGCTGGTGCACATGACACTGGTGCACGTGAGACAGGTGCACATGACACTGGTGCCAAGCTGTCGCACCATGAGCGCATGTGTGGGCTTGTTTCCTGCTCATGCTTGTGTTGCCTTCATCCCTCTCACCTTGCAATTCCCGCGTCCCCCCCCTCAACCTCCATCGTGCTTTGCCTGCAGGGGTCACACTGCCCTGCCTGGTTCCGCCCTCGCTGCTCTCACCGCTGGATTCACCCCATCATCACCTGCAATCCCCCTCCCACCACCCCACCCCTCTGCCCCCCGCGCCTGCGCTCTCCCTCGCCCTCCGCCTCCATCTTCTGCTCTTCGCCCCCGTGTCCCCGAACCCCCTCGCCTCCCGCTCACTCCCCCCTGCCACATTCCCTTGGGAGCTTCCCCCTTCCTTCCCCCTGGCATGCGCACCCCATATGCCCCCCCTTGCGGCCCTGCAGCAGCTGCCCTCCCTCTCCTCCCTCTCGCTGTCCCTCGCATCCCTTTCTGCCCAACCCGACGCCTGTGCTTGGCTGGCGGACCCCTGGCCCATGGCGAGCAGCAGAGCGCACCAGGTAAAACATTGCACCACTACCGCTCATGCCTCCGCAGTATCACTGATGCTCTTGCCCCCTCTCAAACTTGTGATCGTTCTTTTCGTCTTTGCCCGTCTGCATGGTTAGCTCCCACTACTGCGCCTCTGCTCGTCGTCCGGCGTGTATGTCCTTCTGGCTTCCTGGCCTAGTGGCGTTCTCTCACCTATCCTTCCCCTTGTCTTTGTTTTCTCCTCTCCCCGTACCCCACTCTCGCCGTGTTGCAGCCTTCTAGTGCTGGCCACCCGAGCGCCTTCCTCCCCATGCCGCACAGTCTCCGCCACCTGATATTGGCCGCCTCTCCCTTCTCGCTCTTCCTCTCGCTGCTGCCATTGCTGCTCGCCCGGTCCGTCTCCCGCCTCTCCCTCAGCGCCATCACACAGCACCTGCACGCACTCGCATCAGCTGCAGCGCTCCTAGCGCGCACGCACACACCCCTGCTTGCCGCTGCCTCCACCCTCCTCTCGCTGCTCGGCCTCTCCTCCTCCCGCCTCCGCCTTGTCATTGCCGCCCTGCATCTCATCCTCTCTTCCTCCCCGCTTCCCTCCCCCTCCTCCCTTGCGGCCGTCGCTCGCTTTCTGCACTGCTACTGCGATTCGTGGGCAGGGGGGCAGCAGGGTGGGGTGGACCAGCCAGGGGAGAGTGGGCAGCGCAAGGCAGCAAGGCAGCTGCTGAGGCTGCTGGAGGGCGCAGTGCTGGGGGAGAGGGAGGGGGCGGGTGGAAGTGGGGGGGAGGAGAATGGAGCTGGCAGGGAGAAGGGGGTGGGGAGCAGTGGTTTGGTGGAGGGGGCGGCAGTGGAGGCGGGAGGGGCGGGGAAGGGCGTGGTGCAGGGGTGGTCGAACCATGCAGTGGAGATGGTGGGCGAGGAGGAGAGACAGGCGCGGCAGAGGCGAGTGCAGGAGGCGATGCAGAGGAGGGAGCAGCAGCAACAGCAGCGGGACGAGTGGGCGCTGGTGCTGGCGCTTGCAGCGGAGTTCTCTCTCCCAGCCCCTAACAGACTGTTGCTGCGCTTCGCACACGCTAATGACTGGGTATGGCTTGTTTCATGATTTTGACTGGCTATGCCGTGTGTCGTGGGGCTGAAACTTGATGTGCTCTGTGTTGCTGCCAGAAGTGTCGTGCTGCCATCACTTCATGGTGCTCTCAACACCTGCATCCTCCCTCTCCTGCTTATTTCCTCTTCCTCCCCCCCCCCCTCTTCAGATGGGCTTGCTGGCACAGGCGCAGGCGCAAACATGGCCTCTCCACGACCTGCTGCACATAGTAATGCTCTCCTTTCCCCACGCCATTTCATCCCTCCCGTCGCTCCCTCTCTCTCCTTGTGCTACCTGTGTTGCGCATTGCTACGGCACTCTCTGGTATCACCTTCCCACATGGCCGGCCTACACCGCTGCTTCATGCACTCCCCATCACATGCACTCCCCATCACATGCATTCCCCATCACATGCACTCCCCATCACATGCGCTCCCCATCACATGCGCTCCCCATCACATGCGCTCCCCATCACCACTGCACCCTACCTCTGCTCACCTCCCTTGGAATTCCGCTTTATACCTCCCCCTCCCCTGCAGGTGCACCATCACATGCCGCACATCTCTCTGCGCCATCACCTCTCCCTCGCCCTCGCTCGCTGTGCCACCCCCTCCTCCCCGCCGCCCTCGCTCCTCCCCTACAACCGCACGCCCACCCTCTTCCACGTCCTCTCGCAAGCCGCCACTGCGCCACCGTTCCCCGCCGCCACCTGCCCTCGTGTGCCCGTGCAGCTGCTGCGCCTCACGCGCCGCCTGCACTGGCCGCTGCTGGCCGTGGTGGCTGCCGGCGTGCAGGGAGGCGCGGGGGAGAGGCATGCAGGGGGCAGCACGGGGATTACGCTGTTCCACCTGGCCTGCCTGGACTCGTGGCTGCATGCAACATGTGCAGAGTGAGCATGGCACACCACAAGCCGGTTGCCGGCCGTCTCTCTCATTTCCCCCGACTTTCCCACTTGTCGAATGTGCTCTTCGTCTTCTCATTGTCACTCTTTCCTCTCTCTCCCCCCCCCTTTCCCCCGCCCCCGGCTGTGCCCACAGATTGCTTGCAGCATCGTGCCACACTTCCTGCCATGGCCATGCTGCTCCTGCTGGGACCATGGCAGCGCAGGGAGATGGGGAGAGAGAGGGGCGGGAGGAGAAAGTGTGGGGGGGGGGAGAGAGTGAGGAGGAAGAAGGTATAGAGGAGGCGCATGCAGGAGGGGTCGGCGGACGGCAGGACTGGGTGCAGGGGCTGCAGCAAGGGAAGCGGCGGCGAGTGGAGGCACAGCTGGGGTGGAGGGCGGAGAGGCAGGCAGAGAAGGCAGGAGGAGAGCAGAGGGGGGCGCAGGCAGCAGGGTTGAGGAGAGAGGGGGGGTATGAGAGGGGGCAAGAGGTCGTGGAGGCGAGGGGCATGGGGCTGGGCGGGATGGTGTCGTGGCTGTGTAGGGAGGGGTGGGTGCTGCCGCTGCTGCGAGGGCTGCACCTCTTCCTTCCGCGCTGCTCGCTGCTCTACCTCCTCCTCGCTCTGCAGGTATGCAGCTCTCCACCAGGTTGCATGGCTCACACATGCTACGCTTGCTATCCTGCCACTAGGTGCATCGCTGCATGCTGTTTACTGAGTCATTGGACTGCTTCTACAAGCCCTTCTGCTTCCGGCACTTTTCCCTGGACTCCGCCCTCCCCTCCCCCCCCCCTCTAGGCGCACTGGCGGCAGCACAGCGAGGAGGCGGAGGCGTGTGTGGCGGAGTTCAACGTGCTGGCGGACAGGGAGCAGGCGGACGCCAAGGCAGCGCAGCACCTTGAGGGGCACACTCCGGGGGATGCTATGCGCGACTTGGAGGAGGTGTGGGGTGCGGAGGGGGCAGTGGAAGAGGCGGAAGCAGCAAGCCATGACCTCCCTCCACTGGACAATCTGCTCTCGCTCTTCTCCCCCACCCTCTCTCTGCGCTCTCTTGCCCTCCGCTCCTCCCTCTCCCCCTCCGCTCTTCTTGCCTCCCTCGCGTCTCTTGCTGTCGACGCTGCCATTGCCCGCTCCGCCTCGCCCCACCACACCCTCTCCCTCCTCCAACTCCTCGCGCGCGCCCGTCTGCCGCCACCTGACCAGCGCCGCCTGCAGCAACTTCAGGTGGAAGCCCAGCTACTCTCAGGTGCCTCTTCAGGGCCCTCCGCCTCCCCCCTGCCCTCAGTGCCCATGCATGGTAGCAGTGCAGCAGGGGCGATGGCGGATGGAGGGTTGGAGCAGAACTGGGTGGAGGGTGGTGGAGGGCGGGGAGGAGCAGTGGAGCAGGGTGAAGGGGGGGCGGGCGAGAGGGGGGAGAGTGGCGAGGGGGGGTGGGGCAACGAGGCGCTGCAGCAGCTGGTGCAGGCGGGCAGGTGGAACGAGGCGCGGGTGCTGGCACAGAGGCTGGAGGGCCCTGGGGGGACTGGCAGCGCGGCTACAGGCCGGGCAACTCGCATGGGAGAGGGTGGAGGAAATTCGCACAGTGGGGGAGGGTGGATGGGGGAGAGGGTGGAGCAGTCGGGAGGAGTGGACGAGGAGGGGGGTGTGATGGAGGATGGGAGCACGGAGGCGGTGCTGATGACACGAGAGGCCAGTGGGTTGCAGGCGCGCATCACTCTCACTCAGGTGCACTGCCCACATCCTCCCTTGCACGCCCTCTCCCACTTTGCTCTGCCGGCCCTTCTGCCGGTGAACCCTGTGCTGCATCCAAGTCTGTCCGTGCTCCTCTCAGCCGGGTTTGACTTGACCCGTGCCTTGCGATCAAGTGCTGTTAGTCCCCTCTCCGTGTCCCCCCCCGCGGCCCCCCCAGGCGCAGCACATGGTGTGCGAGTGGCAGCAGCTGCTGTGGGAGGAGGAGGAGGAGCAGGCGCTGGTGTGGGAGCACTGCCACCACCTCTTCATGTGCCACCGCCTGCCAGCCCGCCGAGCCGTCGCCTTCTTCCTCGGCCATGCCGCCTCTCTTGCCGCTCAACTTGCACACGCGCCTCCACATGCTGCTGTGGCGGCCTGTGATGGTGACGCAGAGGGAAGGGGAGACAGCAGGGGCAATGGGGTGGGGGTGATGGAGGGCAAGCTCGACGATGAGGAGGGGGAGAGAGTAGAGGCGGAGACAGACCCCCTCAGTGAAGGCTTGTGGAGTGCAGTCAGAGTATGGGGGGAGGGAGAAGAGGGGCAGGAGGAGGAGGATTGGAGTGAGGCAGGGGAGGAAGAAGGCAGTGGGGACGATGAGATGGAGTGTGCGCAGAAGAGGGCGCGGTGTGTGCACCCCATTCTGCTGCTGGCCCTGCAGTGGAAGCTCAGAGCGTACCATCTCGCCTACCTGTACACACCAATGCCCTTGCACCCTGCTACTACACACACCCCCCTGTCATGCGTTTTGTGCATCCCTTTCTACTCTGTTGTGTGTCTGCTGCAGTATTCATGTTTGATGCATTCACCGCCTCCCTGTGCTGTGCCGTGCGCTTCCAGGCACGCATGCAGATCAGCTGCACCCCCCCACACGGCGCCCGATGACAGCACAGCCCCACCCACCGCCACCACGGAGTGTGAACTGTCGCTGTCGGCCCTGGCGTGCCGCGTGTGGGAGGTGGCAGCCCTGGCCGACCACTCCCTCCCCTCGCCCCTGCACTGCGCGCCCTTCCCCGGCCTCGCCCTGCCCCTCTCCTCCCTGTGGCACCGCCTGGCTCGTGGCCCCGCGTGCTCGTTCCTCGCGCGCACGGCGCGTGTCATGGCCGCCAACCAGGACGCTCTCTGCGCTGCCGCTGCCGCCCCCCTCGCCTCGCCCCCCTCGCCCTCCTCTTGCTTCCCCCAGCCGCCCCTGCCATCTGTGTGGCCAAGAGGAGTGGGGGATGCAGGGAGCGAGGAGGGTGAGGAGAGGGTGAGGGAGGGGGTGGTGCAGGTGCTGCTGGAGAGAGGGCAGGTGGAGGGGGCACGTGCCGTGTGTGCACATGTGGGTGGTGGTGGCAGGGATGGCGGAGGGGAGGCGGATGTGGCGATGGTGGAGGCAGCAGAGGTGATAGCAGTGCATGAGGGGATGATGGACGAGGACATGCATGAGCGGGTCATGCACGCATGCCATGCATGCCCCATGGAGGATGGCACGCGCCGCCTGCTCTTCTCAGACCAGCCCTTGGAGGTGAGCAGTACCGCAGCCGCATTCTCCCCTTCACTGCCCTGTATTCCGTAGACGTGAGCTGTGGCGCCATTGTGATTTTCCACGTACGCACGTCACACAACTGCTGTGTGCTATTATGCATGACTGCACACAACCGCGCCACCTGCTGCTACCTCTTCTGTCTGTACCCCATGCTTCTCATGCCTCTCTCCCACCCTTGTCTCCTACCCACCTCTCTCTCTCCCAGGTCCTCACAGCCCTTGCGTGTCTCGCCTCGCTCCCTTCCGCCCGCCTCTGCATCCTGCGCTGCTTCGCACGCCGGCAAGCCATGCAGCTGCTGCCACACCCCTCTGCACCGCTCTCCACCATGTCGCTGTCTGCCCTGCTGCGCGCTCTGCTGGCAGAGGGCGAGGCAGCCGTGCCGAGTGTGCAGCTGCTGCTCGCCACAGGGCTGCTGCCAGGGGCTGATGCCGTGGCGGCCGTGGCAGACAGAATCGTGCAGGTGAGTGTGGCTGCTCAATGCCTCTTCACAATGTCCCTCGCCCTGCTGCGTGCGCTGCTAACCTGTTTGCAGCAAGCCTTCCGCCCACTGCATCCCACCGCTCAATGCCTGTCATGCGTCCCTGCGCCTTCGCCCGTGTGCTGTGTGCTGCGTGCTGCGTGATTTGTGATGCATGCTGCGTGCTGCGTGCTGCGTGCTGCGTGCTGCATGCTGTGTGATGCGTGCTGCGTGCTGCGTGCTGTGTGCTGTGTGCTGCGTGCAGGTGATTGACAGCGGGTACAGCTGTGCTGCCAGCAGCACGTGGCGCAACGGCACGTACAGGCGGTTCACGGAAGCACGGGGCAGAGGGCGGGGCGATGGGGAGGCCGTGCAGGGAGCGGGTGCAGGCAGCGCAGCACCTCGGAGTGCTTCCCGACAGGGTAGTGCCAGTGCTGCTCACGCTGCTGCATTCATGTCCCCCTCGTTCCCAGCTGTGCCGCCCCCCTCCTCATCCACTGCCACACCTCCAGCTGCCCCACTTCCGCGAGCGTCATCACTGTCCTCAGTAGGGGCAGCAGCGGGGCGCAGCTTGGGGCGGTCAACCAGTGGCAAGGTGATGTGGAGTGACGCACTCGCTGCATCGGATGGCACGTCCCGCCTGCCGTGGGACGAGTCAGAGGTGGCGGCGCTGCTCTCCCTGCTCGCGCACCACCCGCCCCTGCACGACCTTCCCTTCGCACTCCCACCGCTGCCTCCTACCACAGCACCTGCCCAATCCAGCAACTGCAGAACCAGAAGCAGCAGGGGCAGCAGCAGTGAGGCCCCGCCTTCGATTCTCCTGCCTCTGGCTCTGCTTCACTCCCTGCAACACCTTGACGGTGCCAACGCCAACACACAGGTCACCTCTCAACCATGCATGCGCCCATCCGGCACTAGCCATTGCCTCCATTCTTTCGACTCACAACTTCCTTTTATAGATGCCTGTAACCACCAGCATTTCAGCTCTGTTGACCCTTTTACCAGTTCTGCCATTCCTCTCTCTACTGTTTCTCACGTTTTCTCTCTGTCCTCTGTGTTCTACTCCCTTACAAACCTTCTACCTTCATCCTGCACCTTCTTTTCCCCCTCCCCGCCACGGAGCCCAGGTCGACGTGCTGCTTCTAGCACACTACGCTAGTGTGGCAGTTCCCTTGGCAGCCAATGAGACGCTGCCACGTGTCACGGAGGCCATGGTGCAGTGTGCAGTGTCTCTATCCGCGCCCTCCCTTGTGTCCGCCTCCCTGCGCCTGCTCCTTGCCACCACCAACCCCCGCCCCCTCTGCTTCGTCCTCACTCGCCTCCTCGCCTCGGGCCAGCTCGCATTTCTTCTCTCACGCCTGCCCGCTGCTGCCTCTGCTGCCCGTGCCATCCGCTCCGTGTTCCTCCAAGCCACCCTCCCTGCCGCCAGCAGCACTGGTGCTATGAGCACCGTGCTCTCCCTCTCCGCCCTCGCCCCGCCCCTGTCCACTGCCACCACCATGTGCGCCACTTGCGCCAGGGCGTGCTGCGCCATCCCCACACCCATGCCGCGCTCTTCCAGCAGCACCAGCGGCAGGCGAGGCAGCAGCAACATCAGCGGCAGGTGCAGTGGAGGGGGGGAGTGTTTGCCTCTGGAGATCCGCATTGCCCTGCACACAGCAGCGTGGAGCCAGGGGCTGTGTGACGACACCAAGAACCTCGTACGCCCTCCCAGGCCACCCTGCCTTGCATATGCCCCTCCTTGAGTGATTACTCCTGCCTTTCTCTTGTCAATTCCAATGTACATTTGCGTCTACACACTCACACACATGGTTCTGGAAACTTTAGCGTGCAATTCTCACTAAGTGTGCGATCTCTAATTGTGTGTTGCCTCCTCTCCCCCGTGCCTCAGGTGTTGCAGCAGCTGGGGCCGGAGCGGGAGTTGGCGGAGGCGCATGAGCGGCGGGCGGGCGACTACCTGGCGGACTGGCGGGCGCTGCAGTCGTCGCGCTGGCTGCACGCCAACGACGACGCCGCCGTGCTGCTGCTGCTCCACGCCATGCGCGCACTCTGCGCCGCCGCCTCCACGTGGGAGGGGCTGGGCGCGGGCGACAGGGCGAGCCGCAATGTGGCGCAGGCAGCGCTGCTGGGGCTGCAGGTGCACGTGGGGGACACCCTCGTGGGGCTCACGGCGGCTGCTGCCAGTGTTCTGCTGCAGCAGCAGCACCGGTTCTTTGAGGCGCTGGTCATCGCCAATGCGTACGACCTAACATCACCTGCGGACTGGTCGCTGCTCCTGTGGACGCACCTGGACCGCTTCCGGCCATCGCCTGAGTTCCTGGACGAGTGGGCCATGGCCGTGCCCATGCCGCTCGACATGCTGCTGGACGTCGCAGAGCGCGTGCAGCACGAGCTGGGCGGCAACCGGGCGGCGTACGGCAACCAGCTGGCAGGCGCGTTCAGGCACCTGCTGTGGCTGGTGCCCAACCTGGACGAGCGGCTGCAGCTCGCCACGGTGTCGCGCGCCGCCCCCGCTGAGGTGGACAAATGCCTGGGCATGCTGGATCGAGTGCCCGCCACCAGCGCGCCGCTCGTGCTGCGCAGGGGCCATGGGGGGGCGTACATGCCCGTGCTGTGAGGGGGGTCGGCAAGCAAAGGTGCAACACTAGGCGATTGCGTTGCAGGCCAGGCAGGGTACCTGGTGCGCTCAATGGCTGTGCGGATTCTGCTGCAGCCCTGATGGGTGGGAGTCCTCGCCATGCCAGTAGATGCCCAATAGATGTAGTAGCTAGTTCTTTCTGTGCTTGAATGACTAGCTGCAAGGCTTTCTGTTGATTCTTGCTTCTAATTCTGGTGACACTCATGCAGACTAGCTCAGGTGGCTATGCAGCTAACTAGTTGTAGACCTGGAATTTGGCATGGCTGTCCTTGGATGGATTCTTCCAGCATATAGCAACGAACACTACAGTGAGACCATTCAGCAGAAGTCTCCTACCAGCCGAGCAAAATGTACCTGAAGTCTCACACTTCCGGATGATGCTGCCCTACCGTTGTGTTGGAAATACCTCAAGGAGTTTCTGAAGTGTAACACTTCACTCGAGTAAAGCCGTATCGGGTACGCGAGTCAATGGAGGTTACACGAGGAGGTTGGACAAAAGAACACGAAAGGACGAAAGACTCGAAGGGTCGCAACCGGAGGTTGCGACTGACCGTTACAACTGCAAGGGTGGTAACCGAACCGACCATCGAGTCGCTGTGCGACTCGATAACCGTTCCTTCAACAATATTCTACAACTGTTTTACTTTCCTATTTTCTATATATTGCTGTATGCTTGTTTCTTTTAATCAATCACTTGCTCTCACATACTAGTGCAAGGGTTCAACTACTCAAACTTCTGCTGCACTACTCAAGTATCTTGTACAACTGGGACTTAGTCTCTGTAAAGATCCTAACGGCTTTTCTCAGCCCAACATGGTATGAGAGCTGGCCAGAGATCAAACTCCCAGCAACAACGCTCTATCTACAGTTAACATATTAACAAGCTTCATCGATTATAAGTCATGGACAACAAGGGCAAGAAGATCTCTACGGGCTCACCCAGCGCCCAAGACACTCAACCCGGCAACTCTGGACTACACACTTCAGGACTGCAAACCGAGATCGGCGCTGCTCAAGAAACAACAGGAAGGGCACCAGAAATGGTGACCCCATCACCCTCTTCAAGCGTGGACCCGAACATTATGGAAAGGTTCTTCAGTTTCATGTCGCACTTCGACCAGCAGCAGGAGACAAGGACACCTGCACATTCAACACAGAGCAACGGAGGACACATGGGATTAGCGCCAATGAGCCTCGACAACTCATCGTTTGGGCGACACAATCAAGCGCCTACCTTTGCGCCTTATCACTCTTCACCGGGGACGTTTGAGTTCATGCCGCCCCGTGCCCAACCAACAGCAGCTGCATCACAACAGACACCAAATAAGATATTGAGTCTCCAGGCGCAGTTTTCACACGTGATCAAACTGCAGACATCCTCACCGTTCAACAGACAGGATTTTTTTACCTGGAGCTTCGAGTTCGAGCTGCTGATGGAGGCTGCGCATCTCTTGGGATACTTCAACGGGTCCCTGCCATTTCCAAGCAATGGCACTGCAAAGGAGCCAGAAATTTTCACTTATTAGTCGCTGCTGTCGTACACAGTTCTCCTGCGGAACTTGTCACCACAAGAACAACAAAGCATCAGAACGTATCGGAGCTATGGAAACTCCGCGGAACTCGCATGGCATCATCTCAAGTGTCTCTATCAAGCAAACGACCGCGTGACACAAAGCAGACTCATGCAGCAGCTGACAACAATACAGATGAAGACCGGGGAAAAGGCGATGCAGTATATGAGTCGATGCCAGACACTCCGCGACCGCCTGCTTCGGTGCGGAGGTACAATAACCGAAGAAAGATTTGTGACACTTGTCCTCGCCGGGCTCGGGCCAGAATGGAGAACCACCCGCTCGCTTCTTCGCGCCCACGGACGAATTTCGGAGATGCACCTCTGCGCCGAGCTTCATGCTGAACAACAAGAGATGGACCTGTTTGAAGAAAGACAACCAAGAAACAAGCAACAACCGGTAGTCTTCTATGCTCAACGAAGAAACGACAACTACAATCGACGTGACAGGCAGAATCGACACAACACCAAAGGACTCACCATCGTGCCGCCGTTCTGCCACAACTGTCAAACATCCGGACACTCTAAAGTTAACTGCACACGCCCCCGAGTTTATCGTCCAGTAGACCCACAAGTCGCTTCCACTCAAGAAAGTCCGCCAAGGCGTTCCTCCATATCTGCACAGGGCACACCGAACATCATCAATTGTAAGGTACATATCGACAACTGCGCACTCGGATCACCACCCACTTACGCTCCAGACGAAGAAGAACTGCCGCCGCCGCGCTCACAAGGCCTTCAAATCAACCCGACGTACGCTGCAGTCGCCAACGCCGAACCCACCGGGCGAAACACGTGGTTCTTGGACAGCTTTTGTGGTCAACATATGTGTTCTTCCGGGCGCTTCGTGCAACGAGAACGACGTCTCAACCGCAATGTCATCATCACCATCGCCAACAACGAGAACCTAAAAACAAACAGACAAGGAGTGGTTCAACTTCAGTCCATGGAGACAAACGTCATACTGCAACTCAACAAGGTTCTAATCGTCGACAACTTAGGATACAACCTACTAAGCGTCAGTCAACTAATGGCAAAAGGGATTCACCTGGAATGCGACTCGGACTCCAACGAGTTCCGCCTTTACCACGGGAAGGGCGGCCTCTTCATCGGTCGCGCTCTCCTGAAGTCGGGCGTCTTCGTGTTGGATTTCGTCCCCGACCGCGGTACTACTGACAGCGATGGCATCGTGTCGTTCGCCGCCTGGACGCACCCGCCGGATCTTGATCCCGACTTCACCCCAGATGGATTCTAGTACTCCAACACCATACCTGCAGCAGAGAGAACGCGAGCGTTAACAGTCATCCGACAAGAAAGACAAGTACCAGCAAGCGTCCCTTCCCCAACATCACCTGCAGTAGCAGCAGCAGGACCCAGCCGTGTACCATCACCAGCAATCCGAGAACAGCCAACCGAAGCAGATCAACTTATGCCCATCACCCGAGAAGTCTGCCGAAGTCCCGCCATGGTCGTCGCGTTCTTCTCCAACGTCGACATGTATCAACGCTCACCCGGCCATCGCGCTCCTGACGACATATGGCATCAACGCCTCGGGCATCCTGCAAACAGCACAGTGCTACAAACCATACAAGCCGAAGTGTTAGAAAGAAACGCCCTTCTCACAACGAGCGGCCAAGAACTTCGACGACCCCGCGCCCGATGCTTCACGTGTCCTGAAGCAGACCTTCCCCACCAACCTTTCCCGTCGCACCACAATCCAAACGCACCTCTGGACGCCGAGATCTTCGTCGAGCAGCCCCACGGATTCATCGACGACCCCACAAAAGTGTGCCAGCTGATAAAATCCCTCTACGGGATCAAACAAGCCCCGCGGCTCTGGTAGCAGCATCTTCACGGCCGCCTCGTCAAGATCGGCTTCCTACAGCTGCCGCACGACCAAGGCATGTACCGACTACAGAAGGAAGGGGGTTTTGTCCTACTAATCGTCTACGTCGACGACCTGCTCTACATCGGCTCCACTACCGACATCGCCACTTGGTTCGAAGGGGAGCTGAGGAGTGACTTGACACTCACGGTGTCTAACACCGTAACTCAGTACCTGGGCCTGAACGTCGTCGAAGACAACTCGGCGTTCTACCTACACGCCAGAAAGTACGCAGGTGTTGTCGCGAAGAAATTCGGACTAACGCCGATCGTAGTCGCGACTCCCTATCGCTACGGGAACGACAACGGCAGAACCTCCGCAAAACTCCCCGCGAAGCAGATCCAGGAATATGAACAGAAACTCGGCTATCTATTGTTCGCTGCAGTAACTTGCCGACCGGACCTGTCCTACAGCGCTAGCCAACTGGCGACACACCTGAAGCAGCCGGAGCAAGAGGATCTCGAAGAGTTATATCGGGCACTACTCTACTTCGTCTCTACGCCGATGACCGGACTTACCTACAGCAAAGTAACACCGTCGTCCGTACGACTACTCGGCTATGTCGACGCCGACCATGCGGGAGATAGGGAAAATCGACGCTCCAGAACGGGCTACATCTACCGACTAGAACCTATCGGGACTATCTCCTGGCAATCGAGCAAGTAGGAATTAATTGCGCTATCTTCAGCTGAAGCGGAATATATCGCCCTCTGCACCGCGACCAAAGAAGGACTTTACCTGCGGGAGCTGCTCGAGGAAGCGAAAATAGCGACCATGCCCGCCTTCTCGTTATTCTGCGACAATCAATCCGCAATCAAAATCGCGAACAAAGATGGGTTCGCCAATCGAACCAAGCACATCGCCGTGCGGTATTTCTTCGTCAAGGATGAGATCGCAAAGGGGAGACTTCAACTCAGTTACTGCCCCACGACAGAAATGGCCGCAGACTACCTGACGAAGAAACTGGCGAAGGCAATGTTCGATTACTGCATGCTGCTGACCGGGCAGATAAACGTCACCGAATCTGGACACGTCAGCACTCCAGAAACAAAGGGGGAGTGTTGGAAATACCTCAAGGACTTGAGCGTTTCTGAAGTGTAACACTTCACTCGAGTAAAGCCGTATCGGGTACGCGAGTCAAGGGAGGTTACACGAGGAGGTTGGATGGACAAAAGAACACGAAAGGACGAAAGACTCGAAGGGTCGCAACCGGAGGTTGCGACTGACCGTTACAACTGCAAGGGTGGTAACCGAACCGACCATCGAGTCGCTGTGCGACTCGATAACCGTTCCTTCAACTGTATTCTACAACTATTTTACTTTCCTATTTTCTATATATTGCTGTATGCTTGTTTCTTTTAATCAATCACTTGCTCTCACATACTAGTGCAAGGGTTCAACTACTCAAACTTCCGCTGCACTACTCAAGTATCTTGTACAACTGGGACTTAGTCTCTGTAAAGATCCTAAGGGCTTTTCTCAGCCCAACACGTTGAAACGGGAAGTATTTCAACATCAGAGGCAAGGCATGGGGCTGCTACCCGAAGGAACCAGTGTATGGAGCGGCAGAGGGGGAGTTCACTGAGAGGTGCACTGCGGCTGCCTGCAGGGCACTCAATGCTCCTTCACCCCCTGCTGCTGCTGCTGCTGCCGCCCCTCGTGCCACCGCACCCCTGCTCGCCTCAGCAGCAACACCCGCGGCACCATGCAGTGCCCTGTGCAGCAGTGCCATGCGCCACATCACCTCCTCCTTGCCCGCCACCCACCCGCTCCCAACCATGCCCTGCTCTTCCTGCTCCTGCCCTCCTCCTCCCTCGTCCGTCTCCCCTGGTACCGCACCGCTGCTTCCTCCAGCACCATCCCGTCTCCTACTCTCACTTTCCTGCCACCTGTCTCCCCACCCTGGCAACTGCCACGTCAGCACACACGCCACAAGCTGCCGAGCCACTGGGCTGCGCTGAGCATACCTGGCCAGGCGCCGTGCCACGCTTTCGCGCTGCCACGTGGCAGCCTCTGACTGAATATGGGGCTCGCTCACTTGAGGTCCAGCAGGAGCGTGGTGAGGAGATGCAGTAGAATTTGCAGGGGTGGGGCAGGAGGGAGAGGGTGCATGGTCAAAGAGGAAGTGGATGAGCAGAGACGCAGTGAGGGAGAGTGAGAGCGGGTGGTAGGGCACAGCCTTGTGGGGAGAGTGAGCAGCCATCAGCAGGACATCTGGCTGGATGCTTGCTCCAGGGGCATCGGGAGGCTGGGAGGAAGAGGTGGCAGGGGACGGCAGAGAGCAGCATTTGTCAAGGGCGCCTGACTCCAGTGACTGCAGGCATGCTTGCAGCAGAGCCCCCCCTGCACTGCCCACTGCCTGCCCCTGCCCGCCTCCCACTGCCTCACGCCCCCCAGCAGCCCTGCAGTCAGGGCAGCAGCAGGCAGGCGGAGCAAGCAAGTAGCCCACAGGGTTGCCAGCACAGAGAGAGAGCGGCGGCAGCAGGTGCAGGGCGGAGGCAGCATCCAGTGCACGCCACACAGCGAGGCGAATGGGCGGAGCCACGTGCCCGTGCAGGAGGGTGGCGAGCTGGCGGGCGAAGAGGACATGGCCAAAGGAGGCTGAAGCAAAGAGATCAGCGAGGGACTGGAGGAAGGGGTCATAGGCCGACGGCGGGAAGAGGTGAGGCGGGAAGTCATGCACGCATGCACGTGCAGAGGCACCTGAGGTGTCACCGTCGCTGCCATGAGCGTCAAGCAAGGAGTGGTGTGAAGCCAGGTGAAGCGCATACGCGTCCTGGAGGCAGGCGATGGGGCGAGCGAGGGCGGGGTCGAGGTAGAGGGGCGGGTCGGCGAGGAAGAGCAGCGACAGGTGGTGCAGCTTGAGGGACACCGGGAGGAGCGCCACGTGAGGGGAGGTGGAGGGGCGGGTCTCCAGCGCGCTGAGGAACGCGAGCATGGAGTGCAGCACGTGGAGTGGGGGGAGAGGTGCAGCGGGGGCAATGGCAGAGGGTGCAGTGCTGTGGGTGGCAGATGCAGCAGCGGCCAGAGCAGCAGCAGCAGGCAGCGGAATGAGGGGCCAGGCAGGGGGAAGAGGGAGGCTCTGTGCGGCCCATTGGAGCAGCAGGGGCTTGGTTGCTGTGGATGCACCTTGCAGCAAGAACGACCAACCACTGCTGCCCTCCCATGCATCAACGCTCCTAGTGACCTCCATACCACCCTCCATGCCTGCAGTACCGCTGCTGCTCCTCGCTCCGCTGACAGCACCTCCTGCTGTCACTGCCCCACCTTCCTCCACAAACCTTACTCGCCTCTTGCCACCATCACCACCGCTCTCCTGCTGCATCTCCCCTTGGTCCTCCACGCCTTCCATCTCCGCCTCCTCCTCCCCTTCCTCCACTGCCGCCAGCCGCCCTCCCATCCCCTCCCTCGCTGGGCCTCTCCTCTCCCCCCTCGCACTGCCCCTTGCTGCTGTGGTGTGGGCCAAGTAGCGGTGGAACCAGACGGCCTCTAACAGCCGCCGCACTGACGGCAGCCAGTCACGCGCACCCCCACTCCCACCACACATCTCCAACCCCGCACACCCCTCGCCCTGCTCCTCTTCACTGGGTGCTTGGGGTGGCCCAGCAGGAGGGGTGAAGACGAGTGGAGCGAGCAGAATGTGGAGCAGGATGAAGGCAGCTGGTTCACAGTCAGTGGGCCCTGCACTACCCGCCACAGCAAAACACACATCCACCAACTCCCTCCCACTCACTCCTCCCCCCTCCCCCTGCATGCCCCCCTGTGCGTGCAGCAGTGCCAGCAGCGACGCCACCATGGCAATGTGCTGCGACGATAGCACTGCCTCCACTCCCCACCACCCCTCCCCTCCCCGCGCCCCTCGCCCGCCCCACCCCACCCCCCCTCCTGGCGCAGGCCCCCCTCTCTCTGTGTTGCCCTCCCGCCACACCAGCGCACTGGCTCCAGCATGCGTTATGGTGTGAGTGCGGTGTGTGGCGCGAGAAAGGGGGCTGCCAGCTGCTCTGGTGGAAAGCAGGCAATACGAGGAGGTGAGGAGGGGCAGGAAGCACGGCAAGCAGGCAGATAATGCTGCTGCTGCCGAACCTGATGCCGAACCTGATGCCGACGCTGATGCCGGTGCTGGCATCGACGAAGGTGACGATGGTGCAGCAGACTCGTGGGTTCTGGTGGGAGGGCATGCGTGGTTGTGGAGCAGCAGGCTGCCCACGAGTCGCAGCATGCCGTGCAGGCAGCTCGCACTGGTCACGCCCAGAGCACACGGCAAACTCGCTGCGGCTGCCAGGAGCTGGAAGGTGGGCAAGGCAGCCGGGAGAGGGTGTGGCGAGGAGGCAGGGATGGAGGGATTGGGGCACGGCAGCAGGCCAGAGAGCAGCAGGGCTGATGAGATGGCGTCGATGAAAGGGGGGCGCACACAGGATGCCACCTCCTCCCCCGCTTGCCCTCCACCTTGCTGCTCCCCTGCTGCTGATGCGGGTGCTGCATGCAGTGGCGTGGTGGGTACGGCACGCATGACAACAGTGGCGAGGCAGTGCAGCACGGCCGCAACCGCTGCCGCCTCCTCTGCCACTCCGTTCATGAGATCATCATCCGCAGTGCCTCCAGTTGCCACACATGCCGTATCGCCTTCCAATCCACCATGCAAGTGCGAGTGTGCGAGTGTGGCACAGAGGCCAGCTGAGAGGCGGGCAAGCAGCGCAGGCTGCAGCCAACGCAGAAGCATGGGGAGCAACGCCACCACGACGCCCCAGCCAATACCGTCTCCCTCATCCCTCTCTGCTTCCATGCTCTCCCCATCGCCCCCGCCCAGGAGCACTCTCAGGCGTGGCAACCCACAGCACAGCGCCTCCACCAAGAGCACCGCCTCTCGCCCCACACACACCTCCGCTCCCCCCCACACGCCCTTCCCTCCCCCCTCCCCCTTTCCCCCTGCGACGCCCCTTCCATGTCCGCCCTCCCCCTCTCCTTCACCACCTCTCCCCAGGAAGCCACCCCAGTCAGCAGGTGGGCCGGCTGGCATGGTCACAGGCATGGTGGCGGGCAGATGGTGTACGGATGGGGAGGAAGCAGGGCGTTGAGAGGCGGGGGGCGTGCAGGGATAAAGGGGCTCGAGGAATCGCGCGAAGAAGGGGAAGTAGTCAGAGAAGAGGTGGGCGGTGAGCGAGTAGCGGGCGAGCACACGCCAGAGAGAGAGGATGGAGAGCACTGCCGGCACAGAGGCGCGCGGAAGGAGAGCGGAGGAGGAGGGGAGCGAGGGTGGAGAGAGTGGGGTGGAGGAGAGGGGAGGGCGAGAGGGCGGGAGTGAGAGGGGGAGGAGCAGCAGGTGGTGCAGGGCGAGGTGGATGAGGTCAGCGGACGCCACGTGGCGGGCAAACGATGGGCTGGCAATGCTGCACGCCTGATGGGGTGCACAGTGGTGAGGAGAAGGGAGGTTGGAGCGATGAAAGAAGGGGGGAGTCTGAAGTGGGCCGAATGCAACACAGAGGCCAGCCTTGATTTGCAGCAAGCGGGAAGAGAATCAGGTGAGGACAAGAGTGGAGGGGCAAGAATGAAAAGCAGGTCCCAAATCCTATCCCATCAGCAGGCCCATCCAAACGCCCTGCGCCCATCCCACACAATCCAACCTCCCCCTCCTTGCCTTGAGAATGTCAGCAGCAACAGCCAGCATAGCAGGGCTGGTGGGCGCAGCGAGGATGGCGGAGAGGGGCGAGTGCTGGGGGGAGGAGGAGGAGGGGCGGGTGGCGGGGGCAGGAGGTGGAAGCAGGTGGAGGGATTGCGCAAGGGCGGTGGCAGCAGCGGGGGAGTGGCGGGCGATGCAGAGGGCAATGTGCAGGCAGGGCAGGTGCAGGTGCGGGTGGTGCTGCAGAGGGGAGTGCGGCTGGGGGCAGGGGGCACAGGGGAGAGATGGGGCATGGGGCATGTGGAGGGTGGGGGGACAGGGGGGTTGGTGAATGAGGCAGTTACATTACATGGTGTGACAGGACAGTGGTGAATGGCCCCACTACTCTTGACAGAGTCATGGATGGCAGCGTATGGCAAGGCAGAAAGCACAGAATGGGACGGATGGGCACGCACACTGCCATGCTACGCACCCCCATTGACGGGGTTAGCGGGGGGAGGGGAGCACGGAAGGAGGCAGCAGCAGTGGTGGGGAGGGGGGAGCAGGGCAGGTACCTGCAGCAGGTATGCGAGGCGAGGGAGGACGCCCATGCGGATGAGTCCAGCGCAAACATCCCTGCACGCCACGTTCGCATCACTCCCCACCGTCCTCGCACCCTCCTCCCCTACCCCCTCCACGCCACCGCCACCAAGCCCCATTCCCTCCAGGCCCGTGCCCTCACCTTCCCCCTCCTCCTCCTCCTCCTCACAAGCAGCTGCAGCAGCAGCGGCGTCAGCAGCGGGCAGCAGCAGCTCGGAGAGAGCCACGTTGCGGCGCCAGTGGTGGCAGCGGGCGAAGGCCAGCAGCAGGGAGGACGCATCAGCAGACGCGGAGGGCGACAGGGAGGCAGTGAGGGGCGCCGGCAGGAAGGAGGCAGCGGCCTTGGGCTTGTGCACGGGGGCTGTGGCTGTGGCGCTCTCACCGCGCCACACACACTGTGCATGGGACAGGCACATGAGGTGCAAAGGAATGAGAACGGAGAGGGAGGAAGAGCGAAGCCAAGTGTGATAGTGACGTGCGCAGCACCAAAGAAACAGTCACACTAGGGATTTTGCGCTTAATATAGCTATTTGTATCACCTCTCCCTGTTGCAATGGGTGGAACGATGAGAGATGAGGAACGGGAAGGCAGATGGGTGGACGCGGGAAGGGGGAGCTGACCTGGGAGAGGGAGAAGAAGCGCTGGTTGGGGGCGAAGGAGAGGATGTGCAGGGTGAGGGAGAGGGCGGCAGAGATGACTTGGATGTGCTCGTGGTCCAGCGCCAGACTGCACAGCCCATGCACGTGCACATACCGCATGCACGCGGCACGGCGGGGGTGGGGAGGGCAGCGAAATTGGGGGGGGGGGGTGAAGGAAAGGCCGCAGATAGGTGTAGTGTGGAGGTGGGGTCACTGAGAAGTGAGGTCATAGAGTGCATAACGACGGACAGTGGAGGATGGGGTGTGAACGGCGTGGGAGTGGGGATGGGAGGGAGATTGCGAGGGAATGATTAGGGACGAGCGTGGGTGTGGGTAAGCGGAAAGGCATGAGCAAGTGCATTCCCATGAGCGCCAGCAGTCTCACCGCACGGCCAGCAGCAACTGCACCTCGTGGCTGAGAGCATAAGCCCACACCGCCTGCCAGTCCTCCTCCCCTCCCCGCCTCCCCCCCTCCCCACCACCGCCACCCTCCCCACTGGAGATGCTGCCCGTCCCTGTCCCCTCACCGTCCCCCTCCCCATCCCCCTCACCCTCCTCCCCCAGTGCGCGCGCCGCCCGGCTGAGCACGGCTGAGAGCACGGCCAGCCCTGCTGCTGCCTGCGCCGGCACCTGGCTGCGCGAAAGCGCCACTGCCTCCCGCACCGTGTACCCCGCCCTCCCGGGCTCCGCTCCCGTTCTCAGCCAATCCCGCTCCGCCACGTGGCGCACTGCCAGGTCACGCACCGCCATGCCTTGCGCCGAGTCTGGGGTGGAGAGGTGGAGAATGTGGAAGGGGAGGAAAGGTAATGAGGTGGGAGAAAGACGAGGACAAGAAACTGCACACTCTGTTTTGGGGCTATGGCATGACGGCAGCATGAAGAGTTCTCGGATTGGCACAAGGAAACCATGAAGGCCATGCCATCGTGCATGCACGGTACCCTGGTCAAACTGCATGGCAGCTTCACTCGGCACCCCAAGAGCCGTCTCTGCCTCCCTTGCCACGTCAGCAGGGACTGGCCGCCCATCCATTGCAAACCGCACACCACGGATGCGCTCCACTCGCTGCTCCCATGTGGCAGGCTGGTCATGCTGACGTGGCAGTGGAGGGCGGCTCGTGGGTGCAGGCTGTGAAGGAAGCAGCTGAGAAGATGCACTGCCACCACTGCCATTGCCATCAACCTCCATGGCCTGCTGCTGCTGCTCCCCTGCACTATCACCCCCTGCACTATCACCCCCTGCACTATCACCCCCTGCACTATCACCCCCTGCACTCGCGGCCACCCCCTCCGACGCGCTGCCCTGCACAGCCCCCAACCCCCTGCGCCGCTCCTCCTTGGCCCTGCCTCGTCGCCTCAGCATGTCCACAGCCCCGGCTGGCAGCCGTGCCATGAGCTCTGCCTGTGCCTCCGCTATCTGCGCCGCACTCATGCCACCCACCACGCCCCTGTTCGCTTCGTCTATCTCCCGCTGCTCCTGCGTCTCCCCTATCCCCCTGCCGCCACCACCAATCCCTTGTGCGCCTGTGCCTCTCCGTGCTGCACTGCCCCCACTCTTCACAGCAGCTGCGTCCCCCGACCCTGGCCCTGCACCAGCAGCACGAGCTATTCTCCCTTCCCTTGCCTCTCGCTCCCTATCGCTCACATGTTCCCCCACTGCTGCCACGCCCCCATCCACAACCATCGCTTCTCCCTCCACTGCCCCCATCCCTCCTTCCTCCCTTCCTCTCGCCCCTTCCCTCCTCTCCTCTCCCCTATACTTCCCCTCCTCCTCCCGCCGCTCCCTGTCCGCCCCCATTCCACCCCTGCTCCTCTCCGCCTCTCTATCTGCAACTGCTGCCCCTTTCTTTCCCCCTGCTGCCTGCTGTGGGCGCAGAGGCATGGCAGAAGCAGCAGCAGCCAGCGGGGGTGGCAGGGCGGAGGGGTCATGCGAAGGGCTCGTGGGAGACGCATGCACCGTTGCTGGCTGCCAGTGCTGTGCGGGAAGGGAGGTGGACGGGGTTTTTGACACGGCAGGGTTTTACAGGGTTCAGAGTTTAGAGTAGCAGGGGTTTTAAGGGTTCAACGGTTTGAAGTGGGCAGGCGTTAAGAGGCGGCAGGGGTTTAAAGGGGACAGGGGTTTAGATCGAAAAGGGGTTTAGCGCGAGAAGGGGTTTAAAGTACAGACTGAGTTGGAGAAAGCATGGTCAGAATGAGGAAGCGGAAGCGCATGCAGCGATCCGCGGTAAGGATATCACAAAGCTCAACACCCACCTCCAATCTGCACTGCCCCCTAAAAGCATCCCCCCCTTCTCCCCTCCCACCAACACTCCCCCCCCTCAGCACGTACAGGCCCCTCGGCGCGGTGGCGGGCGACGGGGAAGGCAAGGGCGGACATGGGGCCGAGGGGGACAGAGGGGCGCGCAGGAGCGTCGCCAAAGCCCTTCTCGCGGATGCCGCCCAGCACAGTCAGCGGACGGTACCCCCCCTCGCCCCGCTCGCCCTGTGACCCCACCCCTCCCATGCTCCCCATCTGCTCCTCCCCTCGCTGCTGCTGCCGCTGCTGCTTCCGCTTCTGCAGCTGCTGCCTCTCTTGCTGCTTCCGCCGCTGCTGCTCCTCGCTTCCACTCCCCCGCCCTCCCTCCCCCGCCCTGCGCGCCCCAAGCGCCCCGGGCACTGCTGCGCCCGAATCTACCCCTGAATCGCCCCTCGGTCCCGCGTCGTCCGCGCTATTGAGTCGCACGACAGTGGCGGCGGCTGGCCGCCGGCCCGCCATGAACTCCTCCTGCTGCCGCTCGAGCTCCTCGTCGTTCAGGTCGCCCCGCCGCAACCCACGCCGCGATGCCATGGCTGGCCTACTGGTGCGAGCGACGGGGTTGTACGACAACTTACGTCGCTGCACAATTGCAGAGAAAATCGCAGAGCTCAGGAGACTGCAGAGTTAGAGCTGTGGCGAGAAGCACATTGGTGAATTGGTGGTGTGCTGTGGACTGGGCGAAGTGCGGTGTCTCTTCATAAACGCTCGAAATTCCATTACTTTCGCAAGCAAACTGGTCGAATGTTGCGAAAATGGAATCAAATCGTTGGCGAAGCGTCACCACGTTTGCGAAATTCTTCCCGAATCCAAGATCCATCCCTCAAATCACTGACAGATCTGGCTCCCAGAATCTTCTCCCATGTATCTGCTCAGCTCATCACCTCTCCAAAATCGGTGGTCATCCTTCCCCTTCCCTTGCTTCTGTTCCTGATCCACCCAACTTTCATCCTAGCGCGCCCATCTCGCCCCCGCCCGCCGCATCTTCTCCGCCAGTCGTCCGAGGGCATCGCGCGAAGGCGCCATGGCGGCCTCAGCTGCGAGTGAGTGGGCGCGTGTCAGTCCGCTGCGCGCCATGCATTGCCCCATGTAGCAGTCATCGCCGTGTTATCCTGAGTGCCGTGCATGGCGCTCGCCTTTCGTGTGGGCCAGGGTTAGCTCTGACTTGCGGCGGGGTTAGAGCCGCGTGCAATGAGCTGCTGCGAGCGTGTGTGTGTGCGTCGCACACTCTGGAGGGTACACCGTACGCTGTAAGCGTGTCTCAGCTTTATTGCCCCATCCGTTTTCCTACCGCCCTGTCAGGTGTGTGTCGATTAGCCACACCCGCCGCATGTCTCGCCGCGTGCCGCGGCAGTCGACCAGCAGCAGAGGGCTTTGTCTGCTGGCCGCCAGTCGCGGCGAGCGGGCGATGCGGGGCGCGAGTGGTGGCGATGGCGAAAGGCGGCAAGGGCGGGAAGAAGAAGGGCGGCAGCGCAATTCCCAAGGGGGGGCAGGGCAAGAAGAGCGCGGAGGGGGGTGTGGCTGTGGACGAGTCGCGGCCGCCGTACACGAATGCTGACATCATCATGCACTCGCTAGAGCTCATCGACAGGTGGCTGCGATGCGATGGGATAGCATGGGATGGGATGGGATGGGATGGGATGGGATGGGATGGGATGGGATGGGATGGGATGGGATGGGATGGGATGGGATGGGATGGGATGGGATGGGATGGGCTGGGCTGGGCTGGGCTGGGCTGGGATGGGATGGGATGGGATGGGATGGGCTGGGATGGCATGGCATGGGATGGGGGTGGGATTGGATGGTATGGCATGGGTTGGGATGGGATGGGATTGAGTGCGACATGATACCCGTTCACCCCATGTGCCACGTGTCCTGTGCTCCCGTTGCCTCACATCCCATTTCCAGTGTGCTCGTTCCTATCATGTCGTATCCGTCTCATCCTCCGTTGCCCGCACTCCTGATCCGCCCGTTACCCCCCCCTGCTTCCGCCCGGTTGCACCTACCCCAGCTACTACCGAGCGACGGGGCGGCCCATGTTTGACAAGGCGGTGGAGGTGGCGGAGGCGGCCAAGGAGCTGTGGAGCGCGCCGTTCCTCGTCATGTCGCACGGCACTGAGGACGACCCCATCTTCAACTACGGTGGGATGGCGTGGCAATGCCATGGCATGTCATGGCATGGCGGGATGGGATGGCATGGTGTGGGATGGGGTTGGATGTTTGCGTGGCATGGCATTGTTGTGTTGCTGAGAGTTGGCATTGCCATGCTGACCCACGTGTGCGCGGGGCGCAGCTGCCTCATCATCCCGCCATGCCCTCACATCCATCGTCCCCTGGGTTCCGCACTTCTGCACAGCACCATCGCTCATATGTGCGTCATGCCCCTCCATCCCATCCACGTCTCCCTTGCACCCCACTCGTCCCTGCCCCCACCGCCCACCTCCCCTCCCCTACCCCCCAGGCAACGAGAGCGCCCTGCGCGCGTTTGAGAGCACGTGGGCGGACTTCACGGCGCTGCCCTCGCGCTACTCCTCCGCCGACCCCGACTCGCCCGCGCGCAAAGAGCTGCTGCATCAGGCAGAGGAGGTGGGGGGGGGCGGAGAGGGGAAGGGGAGTGGGCGAGATGATGGGTCGTTGGGGAAAGTCTGGGGTTTCTGCCGTTTGATGGCAAGAGGGCGATGAGGCATAGGCTTATGATGTGAACGTTGCTGATGGTGGGATGCAGCAGCAAGAGATGGATAGGCTGCAAGAGATGCTTGTGATCTGATTCGCAATCGCTCACATGTTCATCCTCCCACTCCCTACTTGCATGCTCATACATCCCATCTCTCTCCCTTGGACATCCGTACTGCCCTCATGCCTTCCCTGCTGTCCCCCGCCCCCAACCTCCCGCCCCCCCCCCCGGTCCCCCCACACACGCCCATGACGCTTTCTCGTTCTCTCTCTCACCCCTGCCATGCGTCCGTGTGCGCAGGGCCCCAAGGACCTCAAGGGGCTGGTGCGCGTGTCCACCAAGGGCACCAAGTTCGAGATCGACGACGGCGTCTGTGCGTCCCCTCGCTTCCCCACTGCCTCCTGCCCCGCTTCTCCATACTCACCGTCACACCCTTGCCTTGTTGAGCCGCTGGTCCTCTATGTGTTGTGTCGCCTCTTCACCCTACATCTCACCCTCATCTCCTGCGTTTGAAGCTCCAACTGCTCATGCTGACTATACAGGCTCTCTCAACCACTCAAGATTGTTCCTTTACATCTGCTTGTGTCCCTGCTGGCGCTCTCTGCTCCTCCGACCTTACACCATAAACCCGAAGCCCTCTGCTCCTGGCTTACTCAGTATCATTCCTCCCTCTCCCCGCTCCCCCCACCCAGTGTGGACGCTCGTGGCAACGGATGGCGAGCGCTTTGGCCAGGTAGCACCTAGACCTCTCGTTCCACTGCAACATGCTCGTGCACATGGGCACACACACACACACACACACACACACACACACACACACACACACACACACACACACACACACACACACGCGCGCGTGTGCACACACACACACATGCACACACGCACGCACGCATGCACACACACACACACACACACACACACACACACACACACACACACACGTGCACTCATGCGCATGCAGTAAGGCAATCCATAGATGTGCTTCTAGGCATTGCATCTTGGGTCCTCCTCAGCTCTGCCCTCCTCCATTGGCCCGCCCCTGCGTGCAGGCTGCAGTGATTCGTGAGTGGCACCTGCTGGACCCCCCCAAGGACGACCAAGAGCAAGGCCCTGCCACGCCTACCAGCGCGGCGCCCAGTGAGCAAGCAGCGGGATCCTGCGGTGGCAGCAGCGCCGTGCAAGGGAGCACACAGGTGGACTCGTGAGTGAGGCACCACAAGGCCATGCTGTTGCTGGCTGCTGCCCGTGTGGAAGCTGGCTTGTGGGGAATCACCAACCAACCCTATACTCTGACATGTCTCCTGGTTGCACCAGTGGAGCCCCTGGTTATGGCGGGAAAGTATGGCGGTACGAGGTGCTGTAACGCTGACTCAAAGGTGAATCATGATTGCGTGTAGTCCTGCCTGTGACTCAATGGCCCGACCAAGGGCAAAGGGCAGCCTGCATTTGACAGATACACCACATGGAACAGTAGTCTGCTGGTTCTGGTTGAATGTGCCATTCCAATTTTGTTGTCAGGTCAGGTTGATAAAGCGAGAATATAGAATAGCGAAGGCTGTGTCAAACATATTTGTATAAGTCATAATAGGCTAGATAGGTGCATGTTCCTAGAGGGTACAACACTTGAACAAAAACAACCTGTATGCCGCATTCTAGTTCAACTGTTTACTCTGCGATGGTATCACGCGCTAGGTTAGTATCTGATTAGCACGAGACAGTACAAGGGAATATATGCAAGTGTGTTGTACCCTCTAAGGCACAAACCTATATTGTCTATACTAACATACTAAGATATGTTTGACACACCTCCTATACTATATAGGGGCAGTGCCTAACTGGAAAACAAGCAGCTCAGGGCGGCACTACTAGTCCAGCCTCTGAGGCAAGGGTCCGAAGACGAGTCAGCAAGAGTACCAACTAAACAAGCGTAACCCAAGGCGGCACTACTAGTCCAGCCACTGGGACAAGAGCCACAAGGGCAGTCATGGCAAAATATATAAAGGTCTGTACATAGTCAAGGCCCTAGCAGGTGAGAGGTAACAGGAACAAGACCTAGCTGTACACAGTGCCGCTGATGGTCTTTAAACGCAAGCGCCTTCGTAAAGATATCAGCTGTGTTGGCACCAATGGCCAAGTGTACTACGCATGCCAGGTGGCGCTGCTGTAGCTCACACAGGAGGAAGTACCGCAGCTGGATGTGCTTCGCTCTGTCCTCAAGTCGAGGCTCCTGACACAGGAGGATCATGGCCCTGTTGTCAGCGTACAGGACTGGGGCAGAGCTAGGCCGCTCACCTAAGTGAGTGAGCAAGAAAGTCAGCCAGCAGAGCTCCTGTGCCGCCATGGCACCGGCGTAGATCTCGGCCTCACAGCTGGACTGGGCAACAGACGAGGAGCGAGTAGCTCTCCACGAGACAGCACCTGACCCAAGGCTAAAGCAGTAGCCTTGCGAGGACCTGAGGGTCTCAGTGTCGTCTGCCCAAGAAGCGTTTGTGTGCCCAGTAAGGACCACTGGCCAGCGTCCTTAGAGAACTAACCCCATGCCCGATGTACTTGCGAGATAACGCAAAACCCTCTTAGCGGCTGACCAGTGCTGAGGTCGGTGTCTGCCTGTGGCCACAAAACGAGCCAGGATGCTGAGAGGGTATGCAAGATCTGGACGAGTGCAAGTCATCGGGTACATAAGGCAACCCACCAGCTCAGCGTAAGGACCACTGGGCTCTGCTGACTCCTCAAGAACTGGAGCAGAGAGCCTGTGATCTACTAGAAGAGGTGTGGGCTGTGCGGAGGAGAACTGAAGGCCGAACCTCTGAAGGACCTGACAACCAAGTGTGACTGGGTGAGCGTGATGGTGCTCGCTGCTCTATCTCTAGAGATCTGCAGGGCAAGGTAGTGGCGCAGTTCTCATACGTCAGTGCAGGTGTGTCTCTTCAGCAGCTCTGTCTTCACGAAGGCCAGTGCATCAGTGTCTGCAGTGGCAAAGACCAGGTCGTCTACGTAAACGAGGATGTAGAACGGGGTCTGGCTAGCACGAACGAAGAGAGAGGGGTTTGCGGAGGACGGAAAGAACGGCAGGTCTGCAAGGGTAGCCCGCAGCGTGTCGTGCCACTCACGGGGCGCCTGGTGCAGGCCGTAGATTGGGCGCCGCAGGAGCTACTGGGTCCCAGGAGAGAAGGTACCAGTAAAGCCCTGAGGGCGGCGCAGGTAGACCTGCTCGTGTAGGCTGCCCTGAAGAAACTCAGTGGAGAAGTCGAGGGAGTGTAACTCGTAGTCACGCTGTGCTGCTACGTGTAGCAGCGCCCGACGAGTAGTCATCTTGGGGTCGGGGCGAAGGTCTGAAAGAAGTCCACCCCCTCACGCTGACTAAAGCCTCTAGCCACGTAGCGCGCCTTGAAGACAGGCGGCTCTCCAGGGGGGCGCTTCACCTTGAAGAGCCAGCGGCCATCGACTACGTTCACCCTAGGTGGGGGAACTGCGTCGACGTAAGTGCCGGTGGTTCTGCAAGATGCCATCTCCTGCTCCATGGCAGCTATCCATTAAGAGGTCCAAGGTCCCGAGGTCGCCTCAGCGTAAGTGCGAGGGGTCGGGATGTAAAAAGCGTCAGGGTCACCCTCAGGGACTAGCACCATGGAACAGAGATGGGGAGCAGCCTCGGGCAGGAAAGCAAGCTCGTACTGGCGGTCCTCCAGGACGTCACTGCCGAAGGCAGGATCACCCCCAACAGACGGAGGATGGGCAGGGTCAGAGACCAGAGTGGTGGCGTAGTCAAGGCGGCGGGTAGAGGCAAAGTCAGTGATCGCAGCGACAAGGCGTCAAGACGCGAGACCGGAACAGACGGGTTGGTAACGAGAGAGGCAAGGACCCGAGGAACAAGAGGACGAGCGGCATGAAGGTAGACAGACAGAGGGGGAGGCGCAACAACAAGGGAGGACGGAGGGGGCGACGGCAGGAGGGGAGGACGAGACGCATGGGAACGTAGCAACATAGAGTGAGAGCGCGGGACAGGGGAGACGGGGCGAGCATAGGAGGGACGGCGAGACAAGACGTGAGACGGAGGCGTCGGGTTAGGAGACAGAGGAGGGGACACAAGAGGGGAACGAGGGGGAAGACGAGCCGGAGACGAGTCCGGGGGAGGGAACATAGGGCCGTAGAAAGGAAGAGGAGACGGCAGGAGCGGCACAGACGCGTGGTCAGGGGACGGAAGGCCGAGCAGGCGAAGGGCTGACACCGGCGGTGACTACAACTGCGGCGGCACGACACCGATACTGAGACTGCAAGCTGCTCCACGGCTACCTCCAGAACACTCCACTCCAGCACCCCCAGAAGGAACACCCCCATAGCCCGAAACCCCTCCAGCACCGGTACCAACCCCAGGCCCGCCGGGACAAGCCACGACAGGAACCCCAGGACTAGTACCCACCCCAACGCCAGCACCTTCAGAGGGAACGAACTGCTGCTGTGACGGCTGCGGCGATGGCTGCGGCAGCGACGGCTGCAACAACGGCTGCGACGGCTGGTAGAAGGCGGCAACAACAACGTCAAAAGTGACGTCACGAGAGTGAAAAAAACAATGAGAAGGCGGGTGGTAGAAGTGCCAGTCAGACGAGTCGAGGGGGAAACCTTGGAAGACACAGGGAAGGGTGCGGGCAATGAGCTTGTCCGTGCCAGAGGCACGAACGTGAGCAAGGCAGCCCCAGACGTGGAACGCAGACGCGTCACCAGGAGACCCGGACCAAAGAAGGGTCGGCGAAACCTGCGGCTGCTGGGGGTGCGGCCACAGGTTAAGCTGGTGAGCAGTGTAGCGAACGGCGAATGGCCACAGAAAATGGGGTGCACCGGCATGGATCATGGAAGTACGAGCCACCTCCATAACCAAACCGATGCGTCGCTCAGCGACCCCATTCTGCTGCGGGGAGTCCGGCAAGGTGAAAGTCTGGGTGATGCCCTCCGCACGAAAGAAACGACCAAGGACACCAGAGCAAACTCGCCACCACGGTCGGAGTGGAGACGCAAGACAGGAAGACCGCGGTGGACACGCGCAGAGACAAGCCACGGGATAAGAGCGTCAGGCACATCGGCCTTCCGCTCCCGGGGAAACACCATGGTGTAGCGCGTATAGTCGTCCACAAGCACAAAAATGTAGCGCTCTTGCGAGGCCCATGGACGGGGGCGGGGCCCCAGACGTCGATGTGCATGGTCTGTAGCGGTGCGGCAGTGGGGGGGAACGAGGAGGAGTGAGGGGCACGGCAGAGCCGGCCCTCGATACAGGGCGTGCACGGTGGCGCTGGGGAGGAGGGTAACTTGGGGAACGACCCTGGGAGACCTAGGACCAGACCGTGTTGAGACATGTGACGCAGACGCGGGAGTGCTTGGTGACCTAGGCGTTGGTGCCACAGGAGTGTCGGGTGAGTAGGCGACCGACACGAGCAGGCCGCAGCCACCTGAGGAGACGTCCCAACCGGGAGGGGGTGCGGTGTCCAGCGTGAACAGGCCGGACACCGGGTCCCGGGGGAACGTGGTAAGAGGAGCACCATTGGCGGCCTCGGTACAGACAGCGTACCGCTCGTGACCAGGGAACGTAGTGGTGACGCCAAGGTCCTGGAGGCAGCCGACACCAACTAGGTTCCTGGTGAACGAGGGGATGTGCAGGCCTATAAGAGAGCCCGAAGGAGCCGCCGGACAGGGAAGGGTGGTGGAACTACGGGCGACTATCGGACCGGAGGAGGGGTCAGCAAGGGAAACTGCGGCAGGAGCAGCAAGTGGCGTCAGCGTAGTGGAGTCGCGGAAGAAATACCGGGAAGCACTAGAGTCCAGGGTGGAAGAGAGCGCAGCAGTGGCGGCCGGAGTCGGAGCAGCGAGGGAAGAACCAAGGCTAAACAAGGCAGAGGATCCTACGCCTGACGCAGCAGGGGAGGCAAGACTAGACACACCTACACTAGGCAATAAGGGGTAGTAAGAGCCAGTCACACTAGAGTCATCAGCATACAGCACAAACAAAGTAGAGCTAAGCTTATCCATGTTGATATAAAAAATCGGAATACTATGGCGAAGCAAGCTGTACGAGTCGGGGAGGTTGGGCGATGGCCCGAAGCGAAGACGAAACAGGTCATTCAGGCGATGAAAACAGCGGACAGGAGTGTGACCGATCTTACCGCAAATGAAGCCGTCGCGAGGACCGGTCTGGAGCTGGTACTGACAGGGCCCGTCACCCGAACTGCCACCCGGAGGCACACCACATGCATGACCACCGCATCCACCACCACCACCAGCGCCAGGCCACCAGGGCGGAAGACCACCCGCCCACCTCTGCTGCTGCTGCTGCTGCGACTGCTGCGGCTGTTGCGGCTGGTGCTGGGGCTGCTGCTGCGACTGGTGCTGGACCAGCTGTGACGCTTGCGGCTGCTGGGACTGCTGCTCGGCTGCACCAGGCACGGTCCCCTCGTCCACGCTGCCACCGGGCGACCCGAATCCACCACCACCTCCACCTGCACCGCCACCCCCACCGCCGCGCCCAGCCTTGGGGCGACGACCCTTCGACGGACGGAACTGCGCTGCAGCTGCGGTCTCAGCCACAGCAGCGGAACCGTCGGAGAAGGTGCACTGAGCGGGGGCACAGCCCTGAAAGGTAGGGACCGGCACAGTACCGCTGGTCTGGGCGATAGAG